ATGCTTTAGGAGGTTACTGCTATTAAGCCTGTTTTCACCCAGTCTACATGTGTACTTTTAGTTTTTCTTGCCTAAGTGTAAGAGTTTACTTTTCTCTACATTGAATTTCATTTTCATTCTCATTTTCTTATGAGAAAAAACATCCATGAATATCAATCGAAGCAAAACAGAAGTTCCCAGGGAAGCGGCAGCTTCCAGTGCTCAGAAACCTCCTAAAGCATCTTTGTTTGGCATGATCAAGAGCACCAAGTCCACATCCCTAAGACGTTAAGATCACACATGGATACAAATCAAGGTCAGTTTAACTTGAGTGGTTTTTATTTCAACACTTGCAAGATCTTTGAAGACGCTACAGCCACACAAACCAATGCATAACCCCAGAGAGTAGACTCCTTTCTCCAGGGAGGAACTTTGGTGCAATTTATCTTCACTAAATAAGCTGCTGTGGAAAGAAGGATTCACGCTCACGGATACACACACACACACGTACACACAAAGCTTTACACAAAGTGCAGTGTTTGGGATTCTGTGGTTGAAGCAAAGAACCTATTGACTAAAAGTGGCGAGGCCCTCTAATCGAACAGCCTGGAATGTAATTTGGATTCAGGGTTCAAATCTCCTCCTTGCTGTACATGTGCTTCAGGAGATCTACTACACGACAACTGTACCCATATTCATTATCATACCTGCCAGGGGAAGAAAAAAAAACATGAGCAAATCTGTATATTCACGAATGACATTATATAAAAGTTAAAGGCTGGAGCAACCCTTGATATACAATGCCCTTCTCTGAAGTTATTCCATACTTTGGTTTTCCAGATTCTGGAACACTGGGTTAAGGAAAAAAATGCACTAACTATAATCTATAATTATAATGTGTTGCAGGCCAGTGATAGTTGTACAGGCACTCCCTGTTTAGTAGCTACCTTATTTAGTGACCCTTTGTAATAAGACACTAATTTTTAAAAATCATTTTCCATTCAACGCCTGCATTTGTAACCAAATCTGGTTAATGCTAAGTGAAGCTCAGTGTATACTTTATGGATTGGGAAAACATCCCAGTTTTAAATGAGAGTGCATTGGCTTTTTTTGGCTGCCGTCATACATTGTTGGCTCATATTTAATTGGTTGACCACTAAGATTCCAAGATCCCTCTCACAGTTACTGCTATTAAGCCTGTTTTCACCGACTCTATATGCGTACTTTTGGTTTTTCTTGCCTAAGTGTAAGACTTTACTTTTCTCTACATCAAATTTCATTTTCATTCTTATTTTCTTATGAGACAATCATCCATTTAAATGCCAGGTGTATTTTCCATGTTACAGTTCAATATGTCTCCATTATTTGAATTCTAGCATTAGCTGATGAAATTAACTCTAAAAGGGATGGCTTGGTGTTTTGACAGACTGAAGCCATCTAACTATATCCTTACTGGTGAAGGAAAGCAACTCAAGAAAATTTTGTTGGGCATTTCTCCTCTTGGCAAAAGATCGTGTGATAATCCCCTGGCCATTTTCCTTATGAGCTACAATATTTTGGAAAGCTCAACTGAAAATCTTGATTATACATATAATGAAAGCAGCAAAGCCCAAAATTAGAAACTAAACAAGCTAACAATAGATAAGAGATAGTAAAAACGATATTAGATTGTGCAGAGATGAATAGGTTGATAATGAAATAAAGGATAAAGGGGAATTGGAGTACTTCAAGACATGGGGAAGATTTTATGATTGGCTAGAGAAAGGAAACTAGAAAAGAAAGAAGAAAATATAGAACCCAGACGATGCACTGTTAAATGGAAAGGGGGTGGGGAGAAGGGGAAAACAGAAAAGAAAATATTAAATATATAAGCGAGATACAAAGGGGGTGAATATAGTTAGGATAGATTAGCGAAGGTAAGGGAATAAGAAATGATATTAAATTATATTTGGGTTTGTGGAAATACCATCCCAAGGAAACAAACAGAGACCTGAAAGAGACACCTACAATAATAGAAAAGAGAGAGGGGGGGAGGAGAGAATGAAAGGATGATGGGAGAAAGAAGAAAGAGATAAGTAGAGTAGGATGGAAGGGAGAGGAAGAGAAGGAGAGGGTAGGAAGGGGAAGAGTAGGATTAGAAGAAAGGTAAGGGAAGAAGGAAGGGTAAGGAGAGGAGGAAGGAAGGAAGTAGAGAAGGGAGGGAGGGAGAAAAGAAAGGGAAAATAAGGTAGTGTTACAACAGGAGGAAGGGATGGTAAACAAAGCAACCCAAACTGTATATAACCTATTAAATGAAATAACAAATGTATAAAAATGATAAATGTAAAGAAGAATAACAATTATGTGAATGTATACTTAAAATGGTATGTAAGAGAATAAAAAATAAAAAAAAAATTCTGGAAAGCTCAACTGAGAGTCGAAACAAAGGGCTCAGCTTACCAGGAGATGAGCTTCACAAAGTTATCATTGAGGGAGATGCCTGCTCCAGCATCAAAAATAGAGGAACGTTCATCACCAATGAAATCAGTCGAAACCACCTGCAAACAAAGAAGAGAAAATTACAGTATACAAAGAAGATGGAAGGAGACCCTTGTAATAACCAACATCCTGGGCTCAAAGCTTGAATTTTGTGAGTCAAACCCTTCCAAGAGGATCAAGGGCACTGCCACTTGAAATGGAGTGCTTCAAATTCAAATGTTTTGCACGCTTCTTCTATAAATCCCAAATGATTAAGCAGCCTGGCTAAAGAGTTCACTATTTTGGACAGAGTCCACAGACATACCCTTTATCAAAAATTGTGTCTGGCACTGCATTTGTTTTTAACTGTTACAACCTGCAGTTGGCCCTTAGGTTTATCCACACATTCCCCTCTTCCTCATAGCTACATGATGGCCGTGTTCCAATATTTAAGGCGCTGCCACAGAGAGGAGGGGGTCAAGCTATTTTCCAAAGCACCTGAAGGCCAGACAAGGAATAATGGATGGAAACTGAACAAGGAGAGATTCAACNTGGCCAAGTTCGATCTTACCTCACAATGGTCATGGTAGATGGATCGTACTTCTCATGGTTGACTCCCATAACAAACATGGGAGCATCAGGCGATGGGGCAGTCACCACTACTCGCTTGGCTCCTCCATGGAGATGAGCCTGTAAAAAAAATGGCAGATTTCCGTTATAAAAGATCAAATTCTGGCAGCCCACAGGCAGTAGGACAAACAGCTTCAATAAGGAGCAACTAGAACAGAGGTCTTCAAACGTGGAAACTTTACAGCGTGGAAACTTTACAGCTTGTGGACTTCAACTCCCAGAATTCTGGGAGTTGAAGTCCACAAATCTTAAAGTTGCCAAGTTTGGGGACCTCTGAACTATAAGATTTATCCCAGTGCAGCAGAAATCTGTGCTGGCACGTTATAAAAACCAAACATCTAAGTGAAATCTCCTGAAACCCAACAAATAGCACGAAAGGGAATTACACTGGTTCTTATCTCAGAGAAGGGAACCTTCCTCAAGATACTTACCGAAGCTTTTTCAACATTGAGGAAGACGCCGGTAGATTCTACTACATACAAGGCACCTGCATCTGCCCAAGGAATCTCAGTTGGTTTCATGCTATGAAATACAAGAGGACAATCTTTATTCAGACCTGCCCACTGGGACTTCTACTCAAGCAGGAGATGACTTTCAGGGCCTCTAGGCTTCAGCCAAGTAACTGGATGAACGTGTAATGGAATCTCCTCTTCTCTCCGACCTTTAGAAACACATGCATCCCTGACATTCACATGCTCTTTTCTTGTTTAAGTATGCAACTCCCAACTGAAGGTTTACCCTTCTGCAGGAGCACCTCAATTAGATTTGCATGCTGTGAAAAGCAATGAGTTATGCAATAAATGGCAGTTGGCTAAGTTCACACATGCAGGCATCCAGACAAGCGAATCGGCTTCATTATAGCTCCTAATCCATACTGTGAGAGAAAGAAGATGGTACAAAATGGAAGAGAATTTGTTAGATTATTCATGACTGGGAGACATGGTAACAAGGTCAGCCAATGAATAGGTATAGCAACTAAGTCAGCCAATGGGAGCCTAAACAGACCTGAGTCTGTGCTGAGAATAGAAACTGACACTACTCTGCCTGCTCTGGACTCTGAGATGAAACTGTTCTCTCCTGCTTGTGTTCTGCTTGTAACTTCTACCAGAAAGAATCTACTATTGGTATTATACATGTATTTATCTGTTAATGTTAATTAAGAAGTTAATGAATCCAGCTGAATCAGTTATCTGTGTGTGCTTTCTGGATTTGATTTTTCTGCAACAAACTCTAACAGAATTGATAAGATTACCCTTCCCCAAAGAGCCCAAAGCATTGGTTTTCTTCTAATATCACTAGTCACCCTGTTTAAATCTGCAATTATGATGCCCTGGGAAGGCATCAGAAAACCAAAGCATTGTAAGAACTCCATCTCCAAAGACACATTCGACAGAGGGGCAACTATATACATTTGCTAAAGAGCATAATTCTGGTTTTCATTTCATTTTTCTTACACCCGCAGGGGCCACACTAATGCAAACTCCATGAAATAGTGTTGTGCACTCTTATAGTCAGGTGAGTGTTTAAACAGCCTCAAATGAAAAGGTCTCAACTTCTTCAAACTGCCATCTCGTAAGGGTAGATAAGACAGCCAGTTTGTTGCAGGAGTTAAGGCCGCGGGTTGGAAACCACAAGATTGTGAGTTCAAATTCCACCTTAGACACAAAGCCATTTGGGTGAGCTTGGGCTAGTCTTTTTTTCTCAGCCCAAGGAAGTAGGGAACGGCAAACTACTTCCGAAAAATGTTGCCAGGGAAACTGCAGAAGTAATCCAGACTTTCGCCAGGAGACAACAATGATTGGGGGGCAGGCACACACAAACACACACACACACAAAGATAGTTATATTCTCATAAGTGTCTTTCTAAGCTGCCCAATTACCAAAGCTCCCTGGGCATACTGAGAATATTAAAATACTAAGATATTTTAAGTGGGTAAAACAATGAAATGGAATGAATGCATTATGCTCCGTCTTATTCCCACTTACTTCTGGAATACTGCGATTTTTGAACCGTTCACTACCAGCTTTCCTTCCTCTGCCTTGACCTCTCCCTTGAAGCGCCCGTGAGTAGAGTCATATTTGAACATGTAGACCTGTGGAGGAAAGAAACTAAAGCCACATCATGCCAGGAGAACTAAACTTGTGCCACCTCTCTAGCTTTAATCATCGCCTTCTTTTAATGACCCCATAATCCCTTGCAGGGTGGAGTCTGGGCAACTGAATGAAGCTGAGTGTTTGCTGGCCAGATGCCTTTCCTGTCGCCAATGCAGAGTTTGTTTGTTTTTTCCAGCAGATCTATTCTCATTGTGCCCAGAGAAATATCTGCCTCTACCTAGAATCGAGCTCACGGCCTCCCAATTGTGAGGAGAGAGCTCCACCTCTAGGCCACCGCACCACTCACCCCACTAGCTTGAGAGAGCTCTAAAAAGAGACCGCCAATCTCCATTTGTCTAGGCATCTGACAGCTGCACAAGGATGCTGGATTTTCACACGGTGGGGCACCCGATTCTTATACTTGCTTAACAAATGGCCATTACAACCTCGATTCAAAGTTCCAACATCCGCCCACCACCACTGCGGTCACGTGATTGCAATTTGGGTGCTTGGCAAACAGTCTGTATTTATGTCCATTTGCAGCCTCCGAGATTGCAGGGCTACAACTCTATCTATCTAAATATCTATCTATCTATCTATCTATCTATCTATCTATCTATCTATCTATCTATCTATTATATCTATCTATCTCTATCTATCTATCTATCTATCTATCTATCTATCTATCTATTATATCTATCTATCTATCTATCTAATCTATATGTGTGTGTGTTTTTTTATTTGTGCTGATAAATAAAGGGAGACTAGTATAGATCTATTTCAAGCTATTTAGCTCTTATCAGCTAGCCATACCCTTACTGGGATTCGAACCTGGGCTATATTACAGCCCAGGTTCGAATCCCAGTAAGGGTATGGCTAGCTGATA